GTACTGAAACCTAGCTGAATCAAAGCTGTTCAAATTCCTGGCTGGTCTGCAAGAGGAACTGTGGCCCACTGAAAAACCACTGCTCTCAAAGGTTTTGCTTAACAGTCAACCAATTTGAAGCGAGTCAACAAAGTTGGTTGACCGTCATACCCCTCTCGACCACAGATGTTGTCTCAGAAGAAACGTTACACCCCAAGACCCTCAGAGTATGTGGTATTTATACTTCGCAGCCAAAAGTACAACTTACAAAAGAGTCCCAAATTACTTTCAAACATTTATCATCCTCCTCCTGTATATTGGCAACTTGCTGATTAATTCACCATTATTTGCCAATATTCATAAGGTACATCCATTCATGCCAATAAAGCATATTGATCTGATTAGAGAGAGATAGAGAGAGGGGGAGAGAGTGAACGAGAAAGGATGACTGGAGTGCGTAATGGGAAAACATTGATTATGGCTGATAACTGGCTCTTTGATGTGGATAATGCAGTCACTCTCTTCCTGTCTCTCCACTGCCTTTACACTCTGAAACCCCCGGGCCTCAGAGGATATTGGGTTTACAGAGAGGGAGAGAGGGAGAGAGAGAGAGAGAGAGAGAGAGACAGAGAGACAGAGAGAGAGAGAGAAAGAGAGTGTGTGTGTTTGTACATGATGCATAAGCTTGAATTTGATAGAGATGTGGCATGAGATTATATTTTCATAGAAAAAAAAATAATTGTGCAAATGCAAGGGGGTGAACAGTGTTTATGTTACGACAAAAGCCAACATTGAGAAAAGAGAAGCAGAAATTGCCTTTTTAGGACTAGTGGAGGTCAGGGAGGATGGATGGGTCAGTACAACGTTGAAACAGGAGTTTTGATTAAATTTTCTGTTAGTCTTAATTTTTACTATCTAATGTTTACATAACTTTAAATCTACTACAAGAAATTCCCTATATACTCATATTACAACCCACATGAGTCATCGACAACATTAAAAGCTACAGTCGGTGACTAACATTTATGATCTTGTAACAAACTGATGTTCTGCTTGGTCCAGGCATCCTGACGCCACTACTCCCACCCTCCCACACCACATGGCTACAGCATTCCCCACCAGTAAGGACCTCCCCCAGTAGGACAATGTGCCCTGACATTGTGAAAAATGCTCAGGAATGACTAAGGTAACCCGATGAAGTGTCCAAGACATTGACCCAGCCTCCGAACTCCCCACATCTCTGGATGTACTAAAACAAGCCTCCAGGCCCACCCTCCAATCCACATTAGGCCAAAGGGTCCATTCAGTTCCAAACACCACTGGGGTTTGCAGCACAAGGGAGATTTACATGATATTAGACATGTGGTTTTGATGTTGTGGCAGATCAACATCTATTTAAAATACAACAAAGAACACTTCAGTTTACAACAAACTGACACTGTTGTGATTCATTCTTACCAACCGTCTTTCCTCCAGAATTAATAAACACCTGTTTTCAGCAACATTGTTCCAATGAGGTTTGCAAATCGCTGGTGGAAACTGGAAAATTTACTAGATCTGAATCAGCTGGATGTTTAAATGGCTAGCTGTTTAAGTTTGCATTGATAAATGAGAATTTACTAAATTCATTTAAATGTATTATAATAAATAATCAACGAGCAGGTGAATGTTTTGCCAAGTCATACTATGAACCAAGTATGAAAACAAGCGTGTGTAACTGTTAACAACAACTCAGTTTTGTAAGAGCTACAGTCTTTGTTTAGCATTAACTTTTATTGTCCTGCTGACATCAGAGAAAGGAAAGGTAAATACAGTTTCATGCACTTTATGGCCATAAAGTTTAAATTGTATTTAAGCTTATGATTTGCATGAATTCACATTTAAATCCCCTGGTTTATTAACATTATTAATACTAATTATTAATGAATATTTAATACAAAAAACGCTAATTTGTAGCTGATTATTCATTTGTTAGTTGTGTTAGTGCATATAATCAAACCTCTAAACCGGTGACGTTTGTTTTAGCAAAATTAAAGTTTCTGTTCCTCGGTCTTTTCTTCTGTGGTGCAGCACATTGAAAAATTATTTTAAAGAAAATGGAACTTGTTGTGACTGAACCCAGGTTTGGATAACATCTTTGTTTCTCTTTTTCCATATATTTCCTCATATTTAATTCATAATGCCCACACGGAAAGAGCTGCATAATCGAGTCAAGAAATGTGTCAGTGAGCAAAGAGGAAACACGGAGAGCCACATCATGAAACTAGCATGGTTATCAGTCAGAACAAATAATATTCAGCCCATGCTGCAGCGAATAGAATTCCATGCTTGGAGATTAGCTAAGAAAAAGAAAGATAAATAGACAGGATAAAGTGCTTTACAAACAGTAATATTAAAACGGGAAACCAAAGTCTTAAAAAAGTTTCTTTAATCTGCGCAAACAAAATCCTAAATAAATGTCCTGCCCATTAAGTAACATGTTTTCAGAGTCTAAAATCAGATGATAATAATAAACAATTTAGAAAATCCGATTATTTGTAGTCTGATCGCTTTAATCCTGTTTGCATGTAATCTTTTACTTCCCAGTAATGACTGTTCTCTGAGATGGTTTCTGCTTTCTGCGACCATGTGGGCTTTGAGAACACTGACTGAAGTCAAAATGGTTGACTAGCAGCCAAGTGAGCCAAGCCCTACAGAGCTGCCATGACCTCATTCTCTGTCTCTCTGCTCCATCAGCTCCACTCATTGACCCCAAGTGGAGAGAGAGCTGCTCAGGGGAGCTGGCTCCCCCTGCTGACCATTCTTGGACCAGCAGCCTCATGAGACTTGAAGATGAGAGTACTAATACAGTTGTTTTGACATTCTTATACCCTTTAAGGAGGGAAAGGAGCACAAATGTGCTTTTCTATTGTGAAGACAGTAAAAAAAGAAACAACTTTAAGGGCTTAAAGTAAAAAGAGCTGCTTTTATCCTTGTCATTGTAGACTTTAAACCAGTTTAAGTGACTTGTATTCTGTTTCTTAACCCAGTATGTGGAGCTTCAGGTTTGGATAATTTGTTACAGGGAGTCTGAATAGATTTTTAAAAAGTCCAGATACATACAAGTGAAAGCCAGCAGTGTGGACAGAGGGAAGTCAGACACCTGTGCTTTCATTTGGGTGAACTGACCCTTTAGTAAGACCATAATCTGATAAATGCTTCGTTCAGGCTGTATCTTAATTTAAGTACAAACACAAGTGCACTTCTTCAAAGATATATTACTCATTTTAATTGCAATCCACCTCAGCTGAAACAGGACTGAGGCAAATTCTCTCGGAATGAAAAAATAAAGAAAACAGTTTGCATATGAAAATATATTTAGACATTTAGATCTTTTTGCATATTAGCTACAACCAATTAATTTAGCTCAACACACAGATGATCCTTTGCTGGAAAAGAAAGGCAGGGTTTAATCAGGATAGCAAGCAAATGAAGGCACCTCGTTTGGCGATCAGAGAGCCGTTACCACAAAGTTTAAAATGATCCGTGTAGCTAACATGGTAAACACATTAAGGCACTTCAGGTTCCACAAAGTCAAAAATCGTTTTACAGGCTTCCTGCAGAAATGCAGCTGAGTGTCCACTGGGCGACTCTTCTGTCTTTAGAGTCAATCAGATGTTTAGTGCAAGGAGTTTTTTTGCAGTGTGGTTGACACTGTGTGAGGCTTTGCGTTTTTTTCAGTAGGCTATAAATCAGAGCTGCAGCCTGTAAAACCAGTTATAGTACCCGAATGTGTTGCACACACTAAAATAGTTAGGAATTCAGTTCAGTGTGAAACTCATTGAGACCACATCACAGCAAAAAAAAAAAATCTGTACATGTTTTTGACACGATAAACTGCAGAAATATACAATCAAGGAGACAGAAAGAGAGGAATATGTAATATGTAATAGTCAGAGACTGTAGTACAGTTTATACGCTGCAAGTCCTGTACACACTAGAGCAGAGGTGGGGAACTCCAGGCCTCAAGAGTTCGAGGCACCTCTGCACTAGAGGGACAGCAAAACAGGTGATCAGTAAAATTACTTAGCAGCAAACCACAAGAGGAGCCGTACTTAATTTGGGTTAGTACTACTTCAGAACTTCTTTAAAGTTTGGACTCAGAAATGGAGATGTTTTCAATTTATAGATAAATTGGTCTGATATATCAATATAATCATTATTAATTTGTGACATTTAATAGAATATACAGGTATGCAGGAGCTCATTTATTCACTGTGGTGTTCCAGTGGGACATTACACTCCCTGTTTTAAGTTCACTTTGTTAAAAGCCTTACTGATCAGTACAAAACCTGCTTTGCATTGCATTTTACCACAACGAAAACTGGTGCGCTCGATACATAAGCACCAAATACAGCTAGGAGCATTTGGGGGTTGATGATTCCCTCAAAATATTGAAAATACACAAACTAAACCTCATCAGTTATTCCTTGCAGTAAAATACTCCAATATGTGTGTGCTGGACTTTCATAGAAGAGCACAAACCAGCTCCAACCAGAACAGAACAGATATGAGAACCTCAGTACCCAAATGAGCAAGAAGTCAAGTATCAGAATTAAGGAAACGTGTGTCTCACAGCTCCTCAGCTTGCCTTCATCATATTCAAGAAATGTTTTATTGAATGGCACCCGTAAAACATGCGTCTCGACTTGTCAAAGCGGTGACTTCAGTTTTCAGCACAGTAGATTGTAAAGTAGAAGTCATATTTGAGACTGGCCAAAGAACAAAGATCAAAGAGAAGAAAATGCTTTTATTTCTACAGCTCTGCATAAAGCCACTTTTCACTGCTGATGGTCAAGACTGCTGTTTTGCTTGTACCACTGAAAGGAAATCAGGGGTGTCCAACTCTAGTCCTGGAGAGCTACTGTCCTGCAGCTTTTAGATGCATCCTTGTTCCGACACACCTGAATCAAATGAATGGCTTGTTACCAGGCCTTTGCCAAACTTGATGGCATGCTGAAGAGATAATCCAATCATTTGATTCAGCTGTGTTGGGGTAAAAAAAAGGAAAAGTAGCTCTCGAGCACTGGAGTTGATTTAAATGCATTTAAATAAAGCTGCCAGTCGAGGCGTCACCATCACTTTTACCTCTCACGTCTTTCTATTCGGGTTGTAGCCAGTTTGTGCTGTTCTTTAAAGGAAGAACTACACATTGTTTTACAAAGATCTTGTAATATTACTTCACTGTTGTCTATATCACTTACAAACAATCATTAACTGTATTTTATACCCCATCATCAGCATCAGTATACTACAATACAAATCAACGACAACATAAGCAGGTTTAGTAGACAATCACGGATTGGTGGTTGTTTTTTAAAAAGAGGATGAAAACAATAACTGGACCTTCTCTATGCTTTCATCATTTTGGGTCAGATTATGTTGAAAATTAACTTTGTATGGAAGTTGTTTTTTTTCATTAGAACTGTCTTACAATAAATTCAAAACAGAAAAACAAATCTAATCCAAAAACTGTTTAATTACTTTAAAATCATACATTTAAAATTCTGAATTTTCTTTTGAGTTCTGCAAATACATTTGCCCTTAATATAATTTATTACCATCCAACCCTGACATTCGGTTATTAGCAGATTTTTTTTTTAAGCTTGTGGCGCAGTAACAAATACACAGCCTCAGTTTAAAGTCAGTAGTTTCAGTGTTCTATTTCATGTAAACCACAAGCTGCTGATGAGCCAGTAAAGCAGGCTACAGTGCCTTCAATACCTCTTTAACACCATCTGATACTGGTGCCAGTAATAGTGTTGAGCCAGTTCTGTCTTCAGCACCACAATGCAACAGGTTTTAGGACCGACTATGTAGTGTCAGGGAGTTGAGGTAAGTTCTATTTTAAGAAAATCATGGCAGCCAGAAACTGTGGGCTGTACCTACCAATCATTTTTCACTTTCTTGTGGTAGCCCCTCCCACACCACTGATGTCAGTGATCCCAACTCTCGGCCGGGAAATTTGTGGTGCCGTTCTGATGCCAGGTTTTTTGGCATGGGCACTGGTCTTTCCTTGGTAGAAACACACGGAACTGGCTATCAACTGGGCACCTGCATCGGTGGAAAAGGGGTATGAGTGCTACCCAGTAGACACAAAGCCTTCTGCTTGTATGTAAGAAGAGTAGAAAAAAGAAGCTGAAACAGAAACAGACTCGGGCATAAAGTTTATATGATATTGTGCTTTAAATCTTCTTGCACCATCTTAACACCCCCCCTTCCCAAAATCATGCTTCAGTTCCAGCTATATTCCCCTCCCACCCTCCCGCCCAATGTGATGCTTCGCACCCGGAGGCATCCAATCAAGCCTGAATTTTCTCACACGAATGTGAGGCATCACACACCCCGAACCCGAGATCGCACATGAAAGCTACATGTGAACCCATTCACCTCTGAGTCATAGAAAACTTACAAATAAAGTAAAATGCACTGAACAAAAAAAACAGTCACTTAGCACTAAACAGAAGTAAACTACCCGTTAAGAACGTTTGTTAAATGATCATGAGAACCGCAGTGCAGAGGGGGATTATTCCACACGCGCACTGGAGAGATCATACACTAAGCACGCCCAGCTTACAAATATACACAAATATTTACATGCAGAGTAGCAGTCATAGAAATGCATCCACTTCCTCGTCCCCTGGGCAAGAATGGCTGTGGTGGCTTTGAGGAGGATTGCATGCTACATGCTACATGGTACCAGTCTTGGCAAAACACACATTGGTGACAACTGGAGGCTGACACTTTGGTACTTAGCATTTGGTTCCACAGCGGTGCATTGTTTTCCTTCGGTTAGCTGCAGACTTCTTGTCTCGTTGATCCAATCTTTTGACATTTAGTGATTTCAAAGGTAATTAAGCAGATTTGACAGTTTCTTTTACAACTTCTCGTGTTTAGACAGAAGCATAGATTTGCAAACCTCTGTCAGGAGAGCTTTTCTAGAAAAGCTTATTCATAGTGTTCACAGTTAAGAATACTGAAGTCACTTTATTAGGTATATCTGTCTAGTGCAGCCAGTTCAAAGAATGAACAAAAACGGACACGTTGTACTATGATGCATGAGGATGCACAGGTAGGCTTAATAAACTGAACAGAGAGCATATAAAGTATATATATTTCAAACAATCTCCTTCCTCTAGAAAGAAAATGGGAAATAAATAAGAATATTACTTCCTTAGAAACAAAACTTAAACTATTTCCATCCAAGAATTTTACAGCATGGGAGGACAAACATCCACGTGGAACCAAATCCAAACTTATCTTGCCCCAGCTGGGTAGAGATGGGACAGATAATCATCAACAGAGCAATATATCACAATACAATCTCCTGTGAATATTCTTGTATATCAGACTAAGCCTGAAAGATTTTAAATTTCAGGTCATAGTGTACAATCTTTCCCATTTCTTCTTTAAATACCAACTTTGTGAGGTATCACAGATGACTGTATTGCAGTATATTGCAGAATCACTTGTTTAGTGATTCCATTGAGTGCTTTGTATTAATGTGCTAAAGTGCAGAGTCAAACCAAATAAGACTGAATGTTAAATTTAGTGAAACCAGCAGAATGAGGTTATAAAGGTGAGAAAAGAGAGGAAGCATCCATCCACGTCGGACAGTTCAACTCTAATCTCAGCGTGTTCCCAGTTGTCGTGACTCTTTTTACCCGTGCCTCAATCCATAACTGGCTGTAGCATCATCTGATCAGATTTGGCCTGTGATTAGTAGATTATTAATTCCCTTTTTATTAGTTACAAGGAAAAAAAATGAAAATTTTGATAAAATTGTCACCCCAAACAATTTGGTCAAAGCAAAGATCCCAAATTTAGGGGCAAAGAAGGGGATTTCAACCACCACCATCCCTGGGAGCCCTGAGGGGAGGGGGAGGAGCATGCAGGGGAATAGGGGGTGACATCTGGATCTTCTGGTTGGTCATAGTTCATTCCTGTCGGAGAGAAGCAGTGTGTCTTTAAGGGGTTGTAATGATTTCCTGTTTCAAAATAAAAAAAACAGGTAGAGCTGTTATAATTCAGTTTAAATATGCAAACGCTTCACTTGTTTAATGGAGAAGATGCAAAGAAAACACAGTTTCCACAATTTGAACAGCCTCGGTCTTACGGATTCTCAGAGTCCCGACTATCACATTCCTTCACAGTAGATTACTCCTTTACTGCTTCATTGCAAAATACTTTAATGTTACAATTCATGATCAGAAAAATAAAAACAATCTCTGATATGAGCAGGAGGACTTGACAAGTCGATGTAGTCACGGGAAAACTGGCACATGCAGACACAGACAGTATAATCAGGGCTTTGCTGTTTAGCTGAAAACTTCAAACAGTGTAGGTCAATAATAAAATAAGATATCTTGCTTTCACAGCACGCAAAAAGTGCAGTTTTTATATTTATTATTTCTGAATAATGAACACTGATTTATTTGAACTCTTTTAAGATTTGACATTATGCATGAAATAAACTCCAAGTTTGAAGTTTGAATTTCCCCTTTTTAACATTCTATTTGTCACTTAAGAGCCGATAATGATGATAGACTTTGTTGCACATGTAATGAAGCTGCTTGACAATCAATTGATATAAAATCTAGCCGTGTGCCCACATGTGGATTGTTTTATTCGTTTATTTTCACCTTTGTCAGTTTTTTTTGTTTGCATCAGGTTGTAAATCTGCAAAATTAACTTAAAGTCCCACAAAAGTCTTTACATTTTGTGCAGTTTGTCAGTTTTTCTGTCAGAATCTCAGTTCAAATCACGTCGAATTATAAACACATACATGTAAATTCAAGAACATACGAACTTTTGGTAATTTCTTTTTCAACAAACCTAATATTTTTTAATGCAGCTGTATGTACAGGTGCACTGCTGTCGCTCATTAAATCAGTGTGGAATGTAGAGCAGCTCAGTGAAAGTGACCTGCTCACTCTCACCCTTCACTCTCGCCTCCTGTTTTTACCTGTTTGATCATCTGTCCACTTCTCTCGATGACGATGGTCTTGTCTTCTTTGACAGGTGAGGTGACCTGGTAATCATCACTGAGCAGACCAAGGATCGGGTACTGGTTCCTGTACCTGCAAACGCACATTTAGTTGTTATTCTCAGATTGTGAGTCACGTGGATGGTTAGAATTTGTCTGTATATACTGCATTCAAGTGATTCAACTGTCACTTATCTTTTTGAAAGTGTAATAGGTGGCAGTTTAAAAAAACAGATCTCCCCAAAACACAATAGATTAAATAATTTTGTTCTATTGCGTTTTTCTCCTTTTTCTCTCTTCGGCCAAACAACACGTTCCATAATCGCATTAATTAAGAAGAGCCACACCGGCAAGCTGTACAAGTACTCCTGTGAAATTTGTGATTAAAAATCAAGAATAAAGGCTATTAAAGGTTTGGTTTTCATGTCATTCCACTTAAGATAAATCCCACTCTTTTACTGTGTGTCCAAATGGGTGTCTTTCAGTGCCACATTTAATGACCTGCCTTATGTAAAAGATGCCCACCGTTCAAAGACCTGAGAAGATAACGTCAGGCTTTGACTGTGGTTGCTGGGTTAGTCCTACACGTCACGTTGCTTCAAAGCATTTTCAGCATGAGCTAGCAAGAACTCAGTCAGTAGAATCAGCAGAGTTAAGGGTCACTTAACATAAGTTAACTTGATATAAAGTTATCTTGTCTGGCAGCAATCTGTCATAGTTATTTCGTACCTTTTGGTGATGATGGTCTTAGTGACATTCTTGGAGCTGCTGTTCCTGTCCTGCATCAGCCTTCTGATCTCCTGAGGACCACAAGAAGCCGTCAGTTAAACGGCACATTGTGCTCCACACAGATAGCTCACACTCATTCCAGTCACTTTGCATTCATTTAGGCAATTTTTTAAATGTGTCAGAGTAAAATGGAACTCGAGTACCAACACATGGTATGGAATTTATAGTCTTTTTTACTGTTAACTTCACAGCAAATGAATGTCGAGCAAAACTATTTCCTGCAGTTTGTGCAGTTTTAATTGCGCTGGTATGTGATGTGAGCCACCTGAGGTAATCAAACGCGCCTGAGGTTAAACAACAGATTTTGAATGAAAACAATGGAATTAGAATGAAAAGAACAGAATTAGAATGAGAAGAATCATATTTGAATGAAAACAACGGAATGTGAATGAAAAGAACAGATTTTGAATGAAAACAAAAGAATTAGAATGAAAGCACGGGAATTAAAATGAAAAGAAAATAATTTGAATGAAAAGAACAGTATTTGAATTAAAGCAACGCAATTTGAATGAAAACAAAAGCATTAGAATGAAAACAACGGGAATTTGAATAAAAAGAGTAGAATTAGAATGAGAAGAACAGCATTTGAATAAAAACAACAGAATTTGAATGAAAAGAACAGATTTTGAATAAAAACAAAAGCATTAGAATGAAAGCACGGGAATTTGAATGAAAACAACGGAATTAGAATGAAAAGAACAGAATTTGAATGAAAGCAACAGATTTTGAAATTAAATTAACTATCATCTTTCAGTCAGAGGAATGTAGTTGGACCTGAAAGGTGCTGGCTTTGTTTTCTTCATTTACAAACTTCATTTTTAGCATTCAGTTTGTTTCTGCATGACTAAAGACAAATCTGTTGATCATCCAAAATGTAGTAAGTCTGATGGTGATAAAGGAAAATTGTGGTTTACTAAAATTGCTTTTGCAGTTTGCACATAATTGAATCCAGACTGGTTTTAACTGGAAACACAGCAGGATCAGTGAACAGAATGAGTCGGACGATCTCACAGGAGCTTCACAAGTTACCCTTTTTTTCGGATGTGAAAAATGGCAGACGGTAAAATCATTACCTTCACTATCAGTTTATATTCTACATATAAAAAGCCTATTTCTACCTAGAAACATCTAATCAGACTGCTTCCGCATATGCAGATCTCAGTATTAAACTTTGTGACTATATTGATATTGAAGCTGATATTGTGTGGAAAAATAACCCCACTTTAGTTAAATTCAAACTGAATGGCTTTGCAGTACCTCAAATGGCCACGTGAGGCTGCTAACTGACTCCATCTCCATTCCCAAATGGCTTTTAGTGTCAAAATACCAAACTTTTACAGCAGCAACAGGCAGGGTCAGAGCCTGTAGAAAAAAGTTATTTCTATAGGTTTTCCCTCTTCTTAACAACTGTGAGAGGGTGGAAATTAGAGGTGGGGCTATTTGAACTCAAAGTTGAACACAGGCAGCTGTACCCACTCATCTTTGTTTTAGTCCATCATTACAAACCTGTTGGTCTGCTTTTCATCACAGCCAGGTCTCCAGATATAATTAATACTTGATCTGTATTTAAGGTTTAACAGATTCTTTATAAAACGAACTGAAAAACAGCTATTTTATATAATATCCAGCTGATTCTATTTAGTCTCTTGATTCTGAGAGCGCCGGTTTGTCTCGACTGATCCTTTTGATAGTCTTCCATCTTTGACTGGCACAAAATTAAACACAGTGTTGATGTGTTGTGTGTTGCAGACCTCCTCTTGTTTGGAGATGGTGGTCTTCTGCTGCTCCAACATGGTGAGAAGCTCTGTGATCTTCAGTTGAAGACTCTTCTCTGAGGACGACCTGTCAGTGGTGACCTCTGTCTGAATCCTTGTTATCTGGGTCTGGAGAGATTAGAGCAAGAGACGGAGAGCAAACCAGGAAAAAAAATGAGTTTAGGTAAGACTACGACTGGGAGCATGTTAGAAGATATATTTTTATGTTTCTGGCCTATAACATGCAACTGAAACTGCCAACAACGTGCAAGCGAAAAACAATGCCTTCCTTAAATACAAGCACCGGGATGCACCGTCATCTAACATTAATCATTATTTCATGGTTTCTGGTACCAGCACTCACTATGGGAAGCAGGCAAACAGGAAGCATTGTGACACTGTGGGCAATGTTGTGCTGGGTTAGGGTTGCAGACCACGTACATCCTTTCATGGAAACAATGTTCCCTGATGGCTGTGACCTCTTGCAGCAGGATAATGTGGCCTCCCACAGAGTGAAAATGGTTCAGGAACGGTTTGAGGAGCACAACGACAAGCCTCCAAATTCCCCAGATCTCAATCCAATCGAGCATCTGTGCGATGTGCTGGAAAAACACATCTGATCCGTAGAGGCCCCACCTTGAAACTTACAGGACTTACAAGGCTCTGTTGCTAACATCTTTGTGCCAGATACCACAGCACACCTTCAAGGGTCTAGTGGAGTCCATGCCTCGATGAGTCAGGGCTGTTTTGGCAGCCGAACAGGGACCAATGCAATATTAGGCAGGCAGATCTTTGGCGACAAATCAACTTTTGTGCAGCTTCTGTAGCTCGCCACTTACCTATCTGAAAACCAAACTTCTGTGGTCTATTTTTTTTTTTTTTCATTTTGATGAGAATCTAGTTCTTCCTGTCTTACCCTCAGCCTCTCGATCTCCCGATCTTTCTCTCGAGTCAAGGTGCTGAGCTGCTCATTGTACTGACGGGATAATTCGTCTGTTTTGATCTGAAAGGTGGAGCTGCTACCTTGTCCAGCCAGCTGATAGGAGGGACAGACAAGACAAAAAGACAAAAGATTTCAAAAACACATTTTGCTAAATAACTGCATAACTTTCTTTATTTAAAGAGATGTAGGGGAAAAAAGCATATCCAGCTTTACCTTCTGTCGGAGCATCTTGTTCTCATTCTCCATTGCTTTCATTCTTGCTTCCATCTCTTTCAGCTTGAAGTCACGATTCGAGTCGCTACTTTGTTTGCTCATGATCTGGCTCTCCAGTGAACGGTGGGCGGCCTGGGATTCCTTCACAGACAGCTGCAGAAAGACAACACACATAGACGCTATGTAGACGCCCGAATCCAACACAGTCAGAAACTGCAGTACCTGACTGTGTCGAAGAGTATTATTTGTTAAACTGAAGGTCAAATTCTTGCCTCAACGTCGACCTGCTATTTGTGCATATGCAGTAATCCATACTCTGAGGAATCACTACAAACATCTTGCGTGTCCTCATTCCAAATAAAGAATTGCCTTTTTAGATGAACTGACAAGCAAAAGTAGCAAAGCTACTTACATTTCTCCTTCTCTGATACATGAACCCATGCAGATAGATTCACAGAAGCAGCACACATTTTCAAAGATTAAAAAAAATAGCTGGGTTGTTCAGGTTTTCCTCATTTTGATCCTTAAGTGAAACATCTCCACTATTTGCACAGTAACGCTGGCCAGTGACTGCAATGAAACACTTTCTATGAAGAGTGCAACTGAGTCCTGCCCATGCTTGAAGGCAAAACAGGTCATAGCTCTCTGTTGTCTTTGCAAACATGCCTCCAGAAAACTCTGGATTTCTGGAATTCTGTTTTCATAGTCGGCACGCGTGAAAGAATGGAATCGCCTTTTTTTCTGGCAATTTTCATAGTGTTGTGATAATACGTAAAGTTCGTTTTTTGATTTTTTTACACACAGCCTTCAACTGTAGTAAAATACTTCTCTGTGACTATTAGTGGAAATGACAGCCGTCACTCTTAACAACCGCAATGTATCCTTTAACATTTCTCTCCTTAACACCATAGCTACCCAGGACCTCCTCTGCTCCCTGCTCCCTTCACCTACATGTCCATTGAAGTCCGCTCCAATCACCACTCTCTCCTCAATGAAGACTCTCTTCTAACACTTAGTCCAGAAATCCTCTCTTTCAACTGACTTCCAACCTGTGGGGCACACACTTTAAAACTCAGGAGAGTTTTCTCCAAGCATGACATCCCGGTGCATTTCAGACCCAGCAACACGCTCAGACAAAAACTGGTTCACCCGAAAGACAAAACGCCAAAACACAGACTTAACAATGTGGTGTTTGCTGTACAGTGCAGCGAGGAATGCCCAGACTTCTACATTGGAGAGACCAAACAGCCACTTCACAAGCGCATGGCACAACACAGAAGAGCCACCTCCACAGGACAAGACTCAGCAGTCCATCTGCATCTTAAGGATAAAGGACACTCTTTCGAGGATGCCAATGTTCGCATTTTGGACAGAGAGGACAGATGGTTTGAAAGAGGAGTGAAAGAAGCCATCTATGTCCACTGTGAGCGACCATCTTTGAACAGAGGCGGGGGTTTACGACACCAACTCTCTGCCATCTATAATCCAGTTCTGAGATCCCTTCCCAGACGCCTTAACGCCCACTCACATCCTGGGCCATCTGACCTCAGGAATTCTTATGATAAGGTGGGGCCAGGTTTCACAATGAACACACCCGAAACTCTGGCTGATTGGGACCCACGCCCAGTTTCCCACCTTGGCTCAGGCGATTAGAGGATCATCAGGGGGTCCTTTGGTCCCTCTGTGGGGGATACTCCCACTAGGTTTATATCTGGGACTCTCCACCATTTGACCTTAGAACTGAAGAAGCTTCTCGGATGAGAGGTGAAACGTCTTCATGCAACTTAAAGAAGTCCAGACGCTTTTCTTTGCAAGCTCCTTGACACACTTTAAACATTCATCATATTTTCTTATTATTTCCAGCATGAAACTCTAGACCCTGTCTGGCGCTCTCTCTACCTCAACACTATTCACATAGTCTTGGTTCAAGATCGCAACTACTCCATTTTTCTTCCTATCTACACCATCGTAGAACAGTTTGAATCCACCTCCCTTCCACCCTTGTCTCCTGAATACACAACATATCTATGTTTCATCTCGCCATCATATCAACCAGCTCTCTCCCTTTACTACTCACAGGCCCTACATTTAGTGTCCCTAATCTCACATTTACACACCTGCCTTTCCTCCTCTGTCTTCACCCAACAGTAGCACATTTTCTCCCATTTCCAGTATCTCATTCTTGATGATCAGCACATTTGATTTAACGCAAACGTTTAACCTTCTCCATTTATGCAGGGAACAGGCACTAGGAGCACACTGGCTTGTGATCCCCCATCACTGGATGCCAACACTATGGTGGTGAATTTTTAATTTTACATCTGTATATTGGACTCATGGGCACTTTGACTGACAGCTGGCTTTGCAAGCACTTTGGTAAACTACAGTAGCTTGTTCTGGTGTAGAGACCTAAAGATAAAGGCAACAAAAAATTTAATATTTTTTAGCCTTGGGTAACCAAGTTCTACCTGCTAAGCAGAGAGAGGCCACTAAAAGAAACCTCTGACACTGAAAATCTTAATAATTTTGGCTGTTTAAAGTAATTTTGTAGCCTCTCATTGGTCCATTTCATACTGTAGTACCAGCCTCTCCCTCAGCCTGGTTTTGCCTGCAGGTCTCCTCTTCCAAAACCCCGCCATGCTTGCTCATGATTGTCTGATAGTTCGGGTTCTGTCTCTGTATGTAGACACTGACATTAAAAGAAACTGTACTGGAATTAAACTGGCTCTTTTCCCCTCCAGTGTTTTTGTGGTATTATGAAACAAACCAAATACAAGTTACTCATCAAAACGGTGGTTTCTCCAAGCACAATTTGGAGAAACAAATTTTGTTCATGAATATTTGGCACACACACTAACAGACAGACACACGTGGAGTACCTGGAGCTGTCTGTTGTTTTCTCGGACGGTCGCCAGGAGGGAGTCATACTGCCGAGCCTGGTCTGTTTTGAAACTCAGATCTCTCTCCAAAGAGTCCTTCTCACTCTCCAGACGCTGTAATATCAGACAGACATATCACATCTTTAACAGTAATAATCATATACTTCATGATCGCTGACATGCCTTCTTCTTTGCTTCTGGATTCAGATTAGTCATTACGCTGGGCTTGTTGTTGGAATCAGAGAAAACACACATTTACATTTTTGATTCCTTGTCAGTTTAAAACGTTAATTGTTAATGTGACTCACCACACCTCATTAATAGTTTGATACTATCTTTCTGGTGTCCTGTACGTGCCTGTCTAATTGAAACTATTTAAGTAACTCGCACCCCTGTGAAAAAGCTCATATACGATGCGTGAAGCCTTTGGGCGCATACTGTTCTACCCTGACAGACGCTGCTGTACAGATCTGAATGTTACTTATGTAACCACACCCTCTGTCATGTTCTTCCCTCAGTGCTGATGTTACACTGAAGTCGTTATCAACCAAATAGGTTCAAGTGGACATGGCAGAACCATGAGGTGTTGATGTTACGGTCACATTTACACTCCTGACTTAAACCCATTAATACCGAAATTTGAATGTTTAATATAGAAGCATATTGAATGTACCACTATATTTATTCCCCTACAATATTATAAAGTGTTAGCATTTTTTCTTTGACTTTCTTTCTTAGGAGATGTTTGCTTGTTTGTTGTCATGTACTGGAGTTTTCTCAGTTGCTTAAAGATGATCTGACAGCTTTGATTTATACTCCTGTTTGTGTTTGTTACCACAGTTTTTTATTTTCTTTTGCTGTCGCCGCAGAGTCAAACTAGCGGTTCCAGTTTCTCTCCAAGATTCCAAGAAGACACAAAGCCGATCCACCCTACTTTTTATCCAGATACCAAGCACTGTGCTGCAGAGGACAGTGTCTGAGTTATGGTGACTGAGCTGGGACTTGTCTGAAGTGTTTTTCTCCTTCTTACCCGCAGGTCCTCCGACATGTGCATGAGCTCCTCTCTCAAACTGTTGAAGGTGGACAGCAGCAGACGCATGCTCTTATCTGCAGTGAGACGAGTCTGACACACAAACACAGAGAAGGTAACACCAGAGAGGGGACAGAAAAAACAAAGGTGTGAAGCTCAATGCTTTGCAGTCGTAAATATTATTTAAAAAGCACATATTCTGCTGTTTTAGGCGGCCCAACACAGATGCTACTGGTACAGACAGAATTTCAAACGGTAACTAGTTTGACCTTATTAATGATCTTGTCTGGATATGATTATGAGGTCCAATACACAGTATTGAGCGCTTTACTAAGGTCTAACAGGATAAACACAGAGCTGAATCCACTGTCAGAGGCCATAAGAAGATCAAGCTAACCTTCACTAGTCCTGTTTCTTTCAAGAACCTTTTAAATAAGAGGAAGGCTGGAATTCAGCCTATAATTAACTAAGACATGTGGTTAGCTAAGACAGCTGGAGGAATCCCAGCTCCCATCTATCCAAGTACTAACCGGGCCTGACGCTGCTTTGCTTCTCAGATAAGACGAGACCAGGCATCGTCAGGTGACAGGCTTGAATTTGTGGGATTATATTCTCATTGATAGCAAAATGTGTTATTAATTAAACTTGTGTATTATTGGAATCTTTCTGTCTGTCACTTACCTGTAGCAGGTAGCGCATTTGTTGCTTGGTCAGTTCAGTAGCTCCTTTTGGAATCAAAGCCTCCACCTCCTCTTTATCCACCTGAAGTTAAAGAATGACAAAAACACTTTTACTTATTCATCACCTGGCACGTTTTTGCACATGTTTTGGGACTGTCCTGTTGTATCCAATTTTTGGGTCTTTGTGAACTCTGTGTTATCTGAGGTACTGGAAGTTTTTTATGTTCCCAATCCTGGTCTTTGCCTCCTTAATGATACCTCTGAAATCTCCTTAAAACAAATACAATGCAAAATGTTGTTCGCTGGATTCACATCCGCAAAGAAGACTATTACGAGGCAATGGTTCAGTCCTGACATTTGTATGGAATCATTCTGGAGACGATGTCTTATCCGTGTTATTGGTTTTGAACATACCACAGCAAAATTAAATAAAGCTTGACCCACGACTGTCGAAGCTTGGAAAATCTTCTCATCCAGAGTTATCTCCTGGAAGAGGCAATAATTGGTTTTAACTTTGTGTTTTTGTGTTTTTTCTTTGCTGTCCCTATGCCTTGTGACTAATGTTTGCTTTGCTACTGCAGTTTACAGTTGTGCTGTATATGTCTGTACCCCCCCCCCCCCCCCCCCCCCCCAAAACCCCGTTTTAAATCAATAAAATGTTGATCACAAAAAAAAACACTTTTACTTTAGTTTTTGTTTCCGAGGACTTTAGTCAAAATCTCTCATATTCTGCAGAAAATGTCTGAAATCTGATTAGTTTCAAGGTTGTGACTCATTTTGACCGCAGCTAATGTTGTTGTGTCTCTCTGAGATCTCCTCAGATTCACTTATCAGTTACTTGTGTGATGGAAGATTGTTTCTCACCATGGAATCTTTTCCCAAATCCATCTGGTGTTTCCTGGAACACAAAGCAAGGAAAACAATGAGTAAAACAGCGTGACTGGAAAGAGCTCCAGTAGGCGTGTTTTGTTCTATCTGAACAAAAACCTGTTCATCTCTGATGATGCATCAACGATTTGGGCTCCTTTTGGTGCACAAACTTATTTTATGGTTGAAAATTTTAATTTAGGACCATACTGAGATTAGGCACCATACTTAAGGTCACATGAAATCTTAGGATCATTTCCTGGTGCTGTGCTTTTCTATGTGTGGATAAGTTCGTGTGTTTTCCTGTGTGCCCAGAGGAGCGCCTGTTGGTGCCACTCTGACTAGCTCCTCTGTCCCATCCATATTCATCAAGGTGTGCGATCTGGCTAATGACAGCTGCAGCATTTTAAAGAGGTTTTCAGCTTTTCATGGAAACATTTCTTGATTATATGAAAACACCCTGAATCTCATCAGACTTGTCAGCGTGATATTTATTTCAGCCTAATTGCTTAGTCTGGACTGTGAGTCAGCGCACGTACAATAGTGTGGAACAAGTAAGTACATCTGTGCTCGGTGATTTAGAGACATGTAGGTGGTTGGCAGGAAGGTGAAAAGTTATGGCTACCCTCTCACTCACCCACACCTCATGAATCAACTGGGTGTTAACTTATTGGAGCTCCATTTCACTCCCTTTGGCCTTTTTTAGCAAACCTGACCTACAGTTCATCCTTTTTTCTTACCTTGGTTTCCTGTACTAACATGCAGAGTGATGTGAAAATTAAGCAGAAACTGATGACGGTGAACATGTGCAAAATCAGCATGGATGATTTAAAATACACGTGCTGTACCAGGTTACGTTTTCAGGTGTACATACTGTGCAGGCACTCCTTATGATTCACAGACAACATGTGTACAGCTATATACACAATTAAAAAAATACAAATCAAAAACTGCAGAATCCACTGTCAGCAATCCCAAAAGCACAAGAAAATTCCAAAACACGTGATCCAGAATGCTATTATCACTCTTGCACAGCTCAAACACAGCACGAAGAATCTTTTGATCAAGTTTTCAATCTGATTTGAAAATGCTTTCCTGTTTCTTTAATGTAAACCATCTCCAACAAAACTCCAACTTGTCACACTCGTGTCCAAAGCACCGAATCTCTCCCAAATGACAGAGCAATCACACAGTTTGCAGGTGACACTGATCACCACAGTTCTGTTGTCTCCCACAGCAGCTGCAAACAGTGCTCACACACTGTATAGATCCAGTGCTGTGGTTCATCTCCATCTTTAGTATATTGATTATAAAATGGGGAGCGACATGCTGGGTGTGTGGATATCTGAATGGGCTTCACCAGAGGTACTGCATGACCTCACCTGGGAATTTGAAGGGGAACTGCGAGGTACTGTAAGGAGATCAGAGACGAGAAACTGCGGGAGTTACGAGCGAGAGAAGCCAACCCGAAACTCGCCTTCAACCTGTTTGAGCATGTTGCACATGAAACTAATCCAAGCTGCCAAACCCAGTGTCTGTCTCCATGACAATCTCACACAGCTTATCTAAATGGTGTACAGCAGTCCAATTCAAAACGATGTATGCGTATAACATCTCACCTTTCCGTGGACAAACAGAAAGGTGTGATGTTAAAGAAACATCCAACATAAAATTACACATCATCATTCGTTGTTCTGATCTCTCAAAGTTCACTTGAGGAATGAAAACAATTCTTCCGTTATATGATTGGTGCTTGACGATGGGGTTGCAGATCGTGCAGGTGTCAGTAAAAGATCTCCCACAGGTTTTTTAGTTTTTCATGTCTGTGTGGACTGGAGTCATCATGGAGGCCCCTCCCCTCATGATAGAAAGGTTTCATCATAACGTGGAGGTGAACAACTCCGTAATGGTTTGAAAGACAACTCCCTCTAATGCAGTGGAGCATGACGCATTGGGTAATTTAACCAAAGCATGACACAGATGTTTCTCAGTTGTGCTAAACTCCAAAATCTGGTAGAAATGGAAGATTTCTTTGCGAAAGGCTATTTGTCTGGTAATAAGGACCGGGGTTTCCTTTGTTCCCTGGTACTTTACTTATTCCAGAGTAAGATATTTGAAATTTCCTCTTCAAAATAAATCCATACTTCTCAGTTAAAACTTTTCTTTTTTTAAAAGCATATCACACAAAATAAAAGCTTTGTGTTTTGACTAGGTCATGGCCAGCTTTGCATTCTGCACTAAAAGTGTTGCAGAGCATGTCTGAGAACCAGACAATAGATGTCTTCATTTCACATCACTGCTTAAATAGCAGTGCAAGAAGTTGAAACAGGGAGCAAGAACGCTGTGTGAGTTTTTTTCATAAACTCATTCTTTTCAAGTAGTTCTTGCATCTGCTTTATATAAGAATAGAGGTTAAAATGCTAAAATTAAATAAAAATCAAATGTAAGCTTGGATTTAACCTCAAATTATGAAGACTCTTCCCTTAGGCTATTTTATTACAAAACACTGCATATAGTTTAACTGCTATGCAAATGATACCCAGTTATATTCACGCCAAAAATATTCCTAAAATGAGAAACATCCTGTCACATCCTGTGATACTAAGAAACTAGTCCACACATCTGGAACAATTGGAATTCCTTATTATCAGGCTTTTTTTTTTTTTAAAAAACACAGTCTAGAAGGAGAGACTATAGTAGGCTCCAGAACTGAATTTAAAATCCTTCATCTCACCTACAAAGTCTTGAATAATCAGGCTCCATTATATCTTAAAGGATTAGTACCATATCTTACTATCATACCTGAAATCTGTCTGTGTTTGTTCCTTTTTCCAATGCAGGAACTCCTGCAACACTTAAGGGAAGAGGAAAAATTTTGCTGTGATTTGTTCCTTCACCAACTCTTCCTACACAATCAGAAGTTGAGCAATCCAAATTTGCAACAAAGAACAAGATATGTCAACAGGCTAAAGCTACCAAACTTTACTTTGCTATAAAAGGATTGCATCGTTTTCATTTCACAACCACCAGCACGAACAGGCCATTTGCTACTTGTTTATTCAGTGGTTCTTAAAGTTTTAGAATGGGAGGCGGAGCCTCTCCTCTGAAAACAGCTTCAAGTTTGAATTCAGACGACAGACATCTTATCTACTTTTATGATTATACAGTAAAAAAAAAATATTAAAAAGTATATTGTTTTGTTTTGTTTTTTAAATGAACTGAATGAAGCATATCATTAATGCTGGATCAGATGACCCAGAAACATCCATTAGTTATGGCTCAGGCTGCTGGCGGTCTTCCCATGATGCATTGAAGGTTTCTTCTGTGCTCACGTCATTCACTCCCCATGTGTTTTATTACTGTCTTCTCTCTTATAGTGGCTTTTGTCCCCTCTCCCTATGCTCTCTTTTCTTTTCCTTCACTCCCATCGACTAGTTGAGGCGCAAAGCTGCCGTTCTCTAAGCCGAGTTCTGCCAGAGGTTACTTCCTGTTAAGAGGAAGTACTTCCTCCCTATTGTTGCCAAGTGCTTGTTCATAGGGGATGTATTGATTGTTGAGATTTTCCCTCTAATTTTGTGGGGTGTGTAACTTACAATATAAAGCATCTTGAGGTAGCTGTTTTTGTAAATTAGCACCAAATAGATAAAGTAATTTTAATCTTGTGTGTACACTGATGTAGATGTGAACTTAAATGCCTAAAGTTTACTTACTGTCCACGGATCTTGGACACATGCTCAGAGATGTAGGAGTGGATGTCGCAGTTCTTCCTGTAGACATCAGCCAGCAGCTCGCCGAAGTAACGTGTGTCCAGCTTTGTTGGCTCTGGTATCTCCTTCAACTCAGTCCTCACCTCCCTCCTTGAGATCTTCTCTATCACTGGAGGTGGTTTCGACTGTATGACATTAACAATCTCCACCTCCTCCACTTCTACAGCATCCCCCTCCTCCTCTTCCTCCTCCTCTTCTACCTCCAATTCAACCTAGAAGTACCAGGACAGAAACAGATCCATAAGCACTGTGTTTTATCCGAATGACATGATTAAGTCCTTTTTCAGTCTTTTTTCATGGTTAGTTAGCCAAAGGCTCTCGGAAACAGACACTGAATCGTATTCAAGAGAAAGCAGACATTTCTGCAAATCTGGACAGCACACATCAAATCAATCAATGAGTAAATAACGTTCAGATCACAAGTAAAGTAAATAAGTCTGTTAGGTAACCTGTTGGTTCTTGCTCCAGAAAGGTATTTTAAACATTTTCAAAGAAAATCACCAGAAGTGATTTAACACAAATGTAAAGACAGCAGGAAATAAGCCACACAAAGCAATTCAGGACGAGTCAGTATGATGACATGAATCTGTCATCTTTTGTCTGTTTCTCAGCCGATAACTGTAAGGAATGCAATTTTGTGCTTTAAGTAAATTTTCTTCTCAGCTACATGCTGAACACCTGCCAACAGGGATCACGCTTGAAAAGAAAAGAAATCCTTAGCAGACCGAATCACAGCTGCACTAAACGACATCTTAAACCTTTTTAAAGGTTAAATAAACACATTAAAAATTGCAGCTTATTAAACTGCTGCTTCAAAGGCCCCACTATTCTTGAGAGGACTTTCTAGGAAGGGTTAAAAGCCAACTACCAGGAGGCTGCACTCTTTTATTTACATAAGGATTACTTAAATATGTGGGGAGACAAGGCTTGGCTGGCAGTTTGCATTCCAGTTCATGTCTGAAGCTGATGGGGTTAAGGTCAAGACTGTGCAGGACACTTAAATACTTCTGCAGAATTGTCTTTATGGCTTTATGCGAAGAAGAACCATTGTGTTGAAATGCTGAAGGGGCTTCCCTGACCTGCTGGCCTTCACCATGCTGCACTTCCAAACTACACTCAATCAAAGCCAAACACATCTGTCAGCTGCAGCTATGTGCATGTAACAGCAGAGAATTGCAAAATGCTGGCTGTTAAAAAGCACTTATTCACAACTCAACCCTCCAGACCTTCAGTGACATCTTACAACAAGACAATCTCATCTCTGAATCTTTTGAGCTGAGGGAAAGTCCCAAGTAGTGGCTATAATTATTTACAGAGGAACAGAGAGACAGAGAGTGACTGAGAGGAAAAAAACACTAAATGGTTTTTCAGGCATGTTTGTGTTTTGCCCATAATTCGAGACATTAATATTTCATTCAAGTTTACACACGAGGAGAAAAAAACTAAGATGAACCAAATGAGTCGATACTGTCATATTAAATCTTTAAACATGTTATTGCTCAAGAGCTATTATGTACATGGACAACCAGTCATTAACATAATAACTGCACTTTGATTTTATATCTAATTTCACTTTCTGTCCACTACAGGAGAGATATGTTTCACTAATACAATATTTGGCAGGCATTTTCACAGGGATACAGATTTTACAGGAATAGTCAAGCTGTAGTTTTTTAACTTTTTCACAATTTTAAAATTCCATCCATCCATCCATCTTCATCCGCTTTATCCGAGGCCGGGTCGCGGGGGCAGCAGCCCAAGCAGAGAAGCCCAGACCTCCCTCTCCCCAGCCACCTCCTCCAGCTTATCCGGGGGGAATACCAAGGTGTTCCCAGGCCAGCCGAGAGATATAATCTCTCCAGCATGTCCTAGGTCGGCCCCGGGGCCTACTCCCAGTGGGACATGCCTGGAACACCTCTCCCAGGAGGTGCACAGGAGGCATCCTTGTCAGATACCCGAACCATATCAACTAGCTTCTTTCGATGTGGAGGAGCAGCGGCTCTACTCTGAGCCCCTCCCGGATGGCCGAACTTCTCACCCTATCTCTAAGGGAGAGGCCAGCCACCCTTCGGAGGAAGCTCATTTCTGCCTCTTGTATCCGCGATCTCGTTCTTTCGGTCACTACCCACAGCTCGTGGCCATAGGTGAGGGTAGGGACGTAGATCGACCGGTAAATTGAGAGCTTCGCTTTTACACTCAGCTCCCTCTTCGCCACAACGGAAGAGGGTGAATTTTAAAATTGCTTAGTAAAAAGTAACGTACAGCTGGGGCTCTTTGTTTACAGTTTCAAAGAGCAAACAGGGAGGTGATGTTCCCGTTATTTAAGTTTTGACTTAAAAAATATGAAAACTTAAAACTGTGACGAGTTTTACGTTTTAAAGTTTTAACTTTTTTTCATGCATTAAAATGTAAAACTAAAACTAGACTGAACTGTCTGACATGTTTTTAATGTTATAAATCACTAGTTGCACCCTTTCCACCACTGCTTAAAGGCTCAGTATTAACAATTAAATTAATAACACCTTATAAATAACAGTAATAAAACTAATAAAGACTCATCAACAGGCACATACTGTTCAGTTTTTTTCTTTTTTTTTTACAGTTCACAGGTATAATTCATCCTGACTTTTATGTGAAAAAAGAACCCTACACAGGTTTTTACTGTCAGTGTGATCATGTTATTGCCTGACTCTGAGCACAGTATGTACTAGCAGGTTTTTTTAAGGCCTACCTGTGACTTGGGTGCACAGAAGTTGCAATGAGTGTGATGTCATGGTTTTGCAATGTACATCTGTGAGAATGCCAGCATCAACATAAAGAGTCTGGCACCACAGCTAAAACAATTCCTATTCCTGCTTATGCATTCTGTTAGTACAGAACGAGTACTTTTTACTTTTGGTACTTTAAAGTACATTCCACTACTAACGCTCCAGTTCTTACTTAAAAAGTATTTTTACGTGTTGAATTCTACTTATGGCACTTTTAAACTCAGGTATTTAAACACAGCAATTTGGCCTATTTGACGACCAACACTGGCGCTAACACTGAAAATCATGGCATTAAAGCTGCAAAAACAGCTACTTTATTATGTTCTAGGACTTTTTTAAAGATTTCTCTGCATTTATTTATTTAAAAGCACCTGCGTGAATGATCTTTCCGGAATGGTAAACTCAGAAATTTCTTTTTAAAACTAAATACGTTGGACTAAACAAAGATAAGGATAAGATAAGATATTTCTTCCTACACATCCAAACCGTGGCTGAGCAAAGTGGTTCAGCCAGATTCCACACAAGCTCGAGGGAAGATCACAAGCTGGAATTTCCCACCAAGTGAAGTTCAAAGCATTGTGCCATTGGAGAGTCAGCAGGTCCTGAACAGAGCACTACAGGTGCAGCTTCTTTCACCACTGTCAGAGAGGTGTTTATTCACTAATACTGTGTTGCACAGTGCTAAAGAGAAAGGTGTTTTAAAATGTTTTGCTCATAAAAGAGACATACACAAGACTACAAACAAAAGAACTCTGCAGGATTTTTCTATAATTCATGCAAAAAATAGTTTTTTCCCTCCACACGATTAAACACTGCACACATACACAAAGACATTACTGCAAGGTTGTGTCAACAGATTACATCATAATTTACAGCTTTTACTGATGAACTAGTATTTCAGCATATACGGTACATAAACACTACCAGTGGGAACCTTGGTTGTAATGCGGCAGGTTTCCTTTATGCATGGCTCATATAATAAACTGCTGTGTAAGTCCTATCAGGAAACAGTGGCACAGGAGGTGGGTGTTACTATTGTTAAAATAAGGGTCAAGGAAATTCCAGAGAAGGGAAGAAAAACACATGTAGTGAAACTGTTTAAATGCCTGAAAGACAGCAACAAGCTCAGGTAACTTCTCACAAGCTCTGGGAAGCCAGAAATGCAAGACAATCGCTTACCTGTGTGAGACAAGCCTGACTAAACCAAAAAAACTGCTGAAGTTTCAAAACTTTAATCCCTCAACAGAAAGAAAGGCTTATCTCAATGTTATCTTTAATTTTTGCAAAGTGAAAATATAAACATCCCTCTAATCCTGAAAAAACCCACAGTAAGTTTCATGCGCATGATCTGTGTTACGTACTAAGTTAAGTCTCCCACCTGTTAGTATATTTTATTTGTACCTATTTTATTTTATTATTTTATTTACTTGTATTTATTTGGTTTCTGTGAAGCACTTTGGCCTACATCTGGTTTTTAAATGTGCTATATAAATAAAATTGTATTGTATTATGAGATGTGAGGCACAACAGACAATGAAAGCAGCACAAAAGCATGATAAACAGTAAGTAAAATGCACGTTTTTATATAATAAATCACACAAAGAGCGATTTTGTTTATTAAAACAGGTCCAGCTCTCACGGAGGAAGAAAAAACAAGCGACTCAGATGACGCACAACTCTGGTATTTGACAGGCTGTAAATCCTATCTAGACACTGTGAAACCTCGAGGTTGGTTAATGATCCCACACAGAGCTCAAAGGTCACAGCAGTGCCAAAGACTGGCACTACTTTCTCCTGTTTCTAATTCTTAAACAGTAAGAGAAAAATGGGAAACAAAAGGAATGAGGCGGCTACACAAAAACTATAACAGCGTGGAGGTGGGAGTGTCTGCAGAGAAAAGGAGTGTAGAAATGACTGACGGGCAGATCACTCTGGACACAAACACGACTCTAAAACAAGCCGCTTGCTATCAGCAGACATGCTGGTAATGGCGTGTAATCTATATAATATTATTAGTTTTCACAGGTTAGTGTCAAAAGTGTAAATATCCTCCTTTTTTTAATAAACTATATTCCACAGCTACACTCACCAGTCCCATTTAAAGTGACTTAAATGAGTTGATCTGTGATCTCTTTTGTCTGTAAACATGCACATACAGCTTGGTAGCAATGTGGGTAGTTCCAATGAATAAAATCTCTCACAATGCACGACAGACAACTGGTATGAATGTCACGGTGGATCCACACACTAATTCAACAGTCTTTTAAAGCCACTTCCCACACGTCTTAGATTAAAAAAACCAAAAAAACAAACGGATATCAAAAAGATATAAAACTGCAACAAAATCTTCAAATTGCATACATTTATATATCAGGTCAATAAGTTTAAGGCTCTTTGAGCAAAAATCCAGTTTTTTGCTCAAAGAGCCTGAAATTAAACTTGAC